AGACACTCCGCCCGAGGCAAACCCACAGGAAACCCCAGACCCGCAGGAAACCCCGGACCCGCAGGAAACCCTGGCCTGCCTCCTGCCAACACGCGGAATCATTCCATTTCCCGGCGACCAATCAGCACTCAGCACGCTGCCACGCCAGCCAATCCAAGCAAACACACGTTGCTCGGGCCAACTTCTGCGGCTAGCCCTCCGGGCACGGGGTTCGAGACGGGGGCACGGCTGGAGGTTGACCCGCCTTCCCGTGAGGAGCTTGGTGCCTTCAATTGGCTGCGACCGGCAGTGGCTTGACGCCCATTGGCTGCTGCCGCTCGCGGCTTCGGCGGGCGGGGAAGCTGAGAGAGCTCTAAAGCGTCAGTGTTTCCGAGAGCGGCGAGTCCTGTCTGGGTCTGACGCGTCTGGGGTCTGACGCGTCTGGGATACGCATCACTCCTCGCTTCTTTCCAGGTACCCATGCGTAGGGGCACAGAGTCGCGGTGGAAGTGTGGCTGCCTGGGGGGCGGGCGGCGGGGGCGTCCGGGGCACCCAGCCCGGTGCGTTTTCCTGGAAACGTTGTGGCTAGTGGGGTGAGGGAGGCCGCTGTGAAGGGTGGGGCTGGAGGACCCCGGCGTCCGGGCGGATGTGGACCTCACAGGTGAGAGAAAAAATTGAGAGGCCCAGGGAGGAGAAGGAGCGAGCTGGAAGGATCCCAGGGCTTGCACCTTGCCTCCCTACACTGCTCGCCAGCTTAAGGATGAAGACAACGATTAGGCTTCAGTTTCTTCATCTGTTAAATGGGGAAGGCACAGTAATCTCGCTTCTAGGGTCGTGGTGAAGTTTCATTGAGGTCACAGGTGGTGAAGTTTCATTGAGGTCACATTCTGTGAAGGGCACAGTGCTTCCTGGTTCTTAGTAGATGCACAGAGAACATAGTATCCATCCTCTAATGTCAAGCTTTGGCTGAGATGTTGATGATAAGAGAGCGTTTTCCAGTGCTTATCTTACAAGTCAATGCTAAGTGTGTTAACTCATGTAATTCCTCAGTAAATTAATGTCACTATTATCCCTAATTTACCATCAAAAAATATTACCTGAGCTATTTTGTGTTCAGAAACCAGGACAAAATATGACAAATTCATTACGATGTCAGATTTTTAATGTAAAGTCTTCTCCAGCCTGTGATCAACTTTCAGCATTTTACAAAACAGACTTTAGCCTCTGAAGGCAGAAGGCTTGGGTTGGAATTCTGGTTTCATCACTTATTTGCCATATGATCTTGGACAAGTAACCTAATACCCTGTTGCTACTTTCCCTTTCTGTAAAATAGAGAAAAATAATGGGATAGGCTCTTAAGGGTCTTTATGAGGATTAAATGAGATAATATAAAGTGGCCAGAAAGATTGGTTGCATAATAAATGAAAAAAAATATTGTTAGCTATTATTATTTTAAATAAGGATTAGAGCATTAGGACTTGAATGTTAACTTGGACTCAAAGCTGTGATATCATTAAAATTTAATATTGACTTAAATGTTGTAAAAAGCCTCAACATTGTTGTAAGGCTTGTACTAAAATAAGCCCAAGTGAGCACTAAGACAGAGGAGCATTAGTCACATTGCAGAAGTAGGCTTCCTAGTTGTCATTCTCAAAAATTAAAAAACTACTGTATTTGACTGAGTTGAAAAAGCTAAATTACCAATTTAAGATTGATTGGAAACCAAGCATATACTGAAAATTTTAAGTTAGGTGAAAATATACTTTAATTTACAAGGCCTCGCTTGGTTTGCACAACATTTTGAGGAAAATATATGGCATGTTAAATTGAAGCTATTTACATAAGTGAAATCCATGTCTATCTGTTAATGGGAAGTTAATTCTGATAGGAACTTCTTTATCAAGTGAATTCTTACTTACTCCTACTACATAAGTCCAAATGGATTTTTATGGCATTTACTATTTATTAGTGGTTAAGATGTTTATGATGTTCCATAGTTAAAATAGAACCTAGGACCGTTTCACTGCGACACATATTTGACAATAATTGGAGTTGTATTGGTCGAAGACTATGGTGATTATACGTGGCCTCAAGAAAAATTTTAACTGGGAAATCTGCCCCCTCTATAATGGCAGCCACTATCTATACTAGTGAGCACTTCAAAAATGTGGACATAGAAAACATGAACAAAAAAGGTTAAAGTAGGGAAAAAATGAAGATGGACATTACTCAGCTCTGAGTAATAGAACTGTCAAGAGCATATAACCTTTTATATGGAGCTGTTAGATTCTGGTAACGTTAAGTGGTATATGTTCTTTCTAAAAGGTAAGTGATGGAGTTGGAGAGTTTCCAGATATAAGGTCAAGAAAAGGAATAAAAGAATTAGTAAAAGGTAGTTCAGAATGGTGTTTAAAAAAAATTTTTTTTTTTGACATTCTCCACAGATGAAGATTGCAGTAGGGCTTACTGTATTATTTCCTGTCAATTAATGTGAGTGCCCTGTTATTTTAGGAGAGTGTCAGGCCTTGGTAACCCCAATATTGTCCCTTCTTGGTTCTGGCATATATTTCTAGAGATCCTCTGTCATGCCATGGCTGCCCACACATAGATAGTTTAGACAGTAACCATCATTCCTTTTTTGACTTAAGCTTGATGAAAAATATTCATACAAGAAATAACTGCCTGGTTACTTTATTGGCTAAAAGAGAGCTTTCCAGGTTTATACTTTGTTGTTTTCTTTTCCTGCCTCCTACTCCGTCAGCTTTAAAGTGTCTCGTTAATAGGAGTATTTAATGTTTTAGTGTCTGTTATTGTCGTAGTTTATTTAAAGGGTAGAATAAGTTAACTTTGAGAGCAAAAACTGGATTACATCCATTTTTCTAGTTCTGGGATCTGGTAAATACTTGATGCTTGGGGAATAAAATAGAAGACCTCTGAGGAATTGTTTCATTATGGTAATGAAAGTTTTAGTCATTCAGAAAGTCAAGAATGATTAATATAAATGGGCCAGCTTAGATATCTTGAGGCCTTCTGTTTTTTTTTTTTTTTTTCTTTTTTATTCACTGGGTTCCTACCGTATACTAGATGTAAGGATTATAACATTGAACAAGTCACATTTCCTGCTCCAAAACATTTACAGTTAAGTGGGAGAAGATGATAAAGGAATAATTACATTACAGAGTTGCTGTGAGAAAACATTGGAGAGGGAACCAACTTTGTCTATAGGGGAATCCAGGAAAGAAGAGTAGAAATTAGGTAATGAAGCTCAGTCAGCTCATAAAGGGCCCTAAGCCATATTAAGAAATTTGGATTTTATAATGATCAGTAGGCGTGAATGATTATTAAGGTAAGCACCTTAAGGATTCAGATACTCATCTTTATAAGTATTTTTATTGCTTATATTTTGCGTGCAGGATTTGCAGAGATAATATTATCTATGATAGTAGCTTTCCATTTCATCTTTGATTTTTATCAAATCATTTTTTAAAAAAATTATCTGCCAACCACAGGAACTTGGCAGGTGAACTTTGGGCTTAAAGAGTATTGTTTAATTATAATGATCTCAGTAGTAGACAAACAAAATTTGTTTTGCCAGTCCTCTAAGAACTTGTGCTTGTTTGTAACACACCTTTGAATAAGGTCATTGTACGGCTATCAAATTGGCAGTCTGTCAAGTGGAAATGGAATATATTCCTGACAGGCAGACTTTTTGAATTAACTCATCCACTTTTATTCTGCGGGTAGGATCTATACTTATTATACATTTTGTGTCACACAGATCCTAAATTTCGTATTATTAAAATTTCTATATATACTTTCCCATGTTTTTGAAAGGATATGCCACCCCAAAATATACCACTTTGGAATAAGGATTATTTTGAGCTGAAGGCAATTAGGAAAGAGCAAATACAGAAAGAGCTGTTTTCCCTCCCACTGCCTGCCTAAAAGTGGGACCTAAACTTCCTTTTGTGAAGGTCTTCCCTTTCCCCTCTGCTGTACTAGGAGAACAACTCATCACTGGAGATAGAAAGTTGGCACCAAGATGGTCTACACAAACAAACTTTACTAAAAGAATCCTATCTTCTATTAGTTTTCTACCATATGTTTTCCTTCCCATAATTTACCATCCCTGGAAACCCAAACCCCTTTTCCTTTGTCTTGTCTTATCTTATCAATTTATCACCCTTTGTTAAAATGGTACATAGGTCTCTGGGCTGGGTCTAACTTGTTCTTTGGGTCTCCACTTATTTTCTGTGAAGGCCTCTGTGCAGATACAAATTAAAATGTTAACAATCACATAAAATTCGTATTCCTTTTCTCCTGTTAATCTATCCTTTGTCAGTTTATTTCACAGGTCCCAGAGATAGAACCTAAAAGAGTAGAGAAAAAAATTTTTTTCCTCCTCTACAGTTCTATATCATTTAGTGTTTGTGCTAATGAAATATTGACTACAACATTGATTTATTTCTGTCACTTTTAGTGTTTAGATTAATAGCTCTCAACCTTGGCGAAATAACAGAATGATCAGTGATGCTTTTTAAAGGACCTAGATTTCTGGAGCCAACCCCAGAACAGATCCACTAAATCAGACTATTTGGCAGTGAGTCCTGAAACCTAACACTTAAAAACAGTATTGAAGAAAATAAGAAAACACGAGGCAGACAGAAGTTAAAGTGGTTAAAGCAATTCTTATTCAGGAGTTATTGTGATGGGAAAAAGAAACATCAGTATAGATCTGGGCTCCCTTCTGAATAACGACAAGGACAAGTGGAGCTTTATAGCCAAGGAGCAGGGTAGGTGTCAGTGGGTGGAAAAATTACTATGAGGAAACGTTAGGGATAAGGGGGATTCTGGATAAATCAATTTGATAGGATTCCTGTAGAAGGCAGGCCAGAGTGGTAAGATTGAGGGTAGAATGAGAAATTTTTGAGAGTGGGGGAAATTTAAACTGATTCAGCAGGATTCTTGCTAAAACTGGGGGCTAAGGACAAGCCTAGAGCTAAGCCTAACCAAAAAGAAGACTCAGAGGAACCTAACTATGGAGTCTTTGTCAAGAGCAACAACTACTACAAAATATAACATAGGTGATTCTGATATATGCATCCGTAGTTGAGAATTGCAGCCTTATTCTCATAGATGCTTGAGGCTTGATATTTCATTTAGACTTTTTTCTTGATGAGTCTATAAATGGGAAACTTCCCCAAAAGCCTTTTCTCCTTTAGGATTCTACTGGAGAGTACCATGGCACCAAAAGGAGACAGAGTTAAGACCAAATAATTCTTGTTTTGAAGCAAACACACTTCAACAAGGATTAGGGGTCTCTTGTGATCCAGGCAGTGTTCTAGTTGATGGGTATATAGTGGTGAATAAGGCAAACAAGGGCCCCTGCTCTATTAGTTGGGGATGTGATGGCCAAAGAGTAGAATACAATAAATGAGCACCAATAAATGAACAAGTTAATTTCAGATAGTGATAAAAGAAGGCTATAATAGTGACTTACGGAAGGCCGTATTAAGGACAGGAGTTTTAAACTGAAATTGTCATTATCAGTTATTGGTCATGCTCAGATTTGGGATCCTAGTAATCCAGGCAGAGAAATTGCAAGTACAGAGGCCCAAAGTCAGTGGCAAGCTTGGCCTATCTGAGGAACAAAAAGAAAACCAGTAGGACAAGAACATTATAGGCAAATGGGTTATGGTGGTATGAATAGAATTCCATTCATTCCTATTAAGGGTGATTTCAAGGCTTTTGACTTTGAACAACTGGCTCAATTACCATTTTAATAGTAAATTGTGAAGATGGGAAGACTGAGACAAATTGAGGGGAGCATGGATGCCAATTAGGCATGAAGCTCTAAGTAGGCTTCTAGATCTGGGACTTTGGGATGGTTTTGCTCTTCCTCTCTTCCCTTCTCACCCTGGGTCTTTCCACTTGTTGGCCTCTGGCTAGCCAGAGTTTTTGCATACCTGCATGTTGATCAAAGGCTCCCAGCGTGATTATTCTAAAAGAAACCTGCAAAGGGAGCATGGACTTTTCTAACCTATCCTGGGAAGTCATGCAGACTCTACTTCTTTATGGGAAATTCCACCTCTTGTTGGGAAGTGTGTCAAAAAACTTGCAGCAGTGTTTCTAAAACCATCGCATTACACAATCTCTTATGTAAGTTTATTACCTTGATCTGGAATTTTATAATATATTCCTTTTTACTAGATTCAATTAGAGAAAATAGGGTTGCATTTTATTTTTTATATGAGTTACTTTAACAACTCAAAATATGCGATTCTCGTCCCTATGTGTTATTCACTTTAGGAGCATTTAGAAAACAAAACCTATGACCAGGTCCTACTCTCAGAGTTTCTAATTAGTTGATTTGGGCTGGGGTCCCGGTATAGATATCTTTTATAGTTCCCCAGGTGATTCTATTGTGAAGCCACATGTGAAACCCACTGTCTACTGCATCAAACTCTGGTGTTTGTTGATGCTAATCTTGGTCTCTGTAACAGGGGGAAAAATATGGAAGGCCTGCCTGATGCTGCTGCTTTTGCAACTAAACTTAAAAATACTCTCATCCAATACCATATCATTGAAGATGATAAGTGGCGAGTCGCAAAGAAAACGGTAAATTAGTTTAGTTACTTATATTTGGGGTATACTTCTGTCTAATGAATTGGTTGATGACTTTCAAAATGATATGGAAAAATATGGACCGTACTTCAGATGGATTTGCAGAGTAGATAATTTTGCTAAGAAAATCGATGGTTTAGCAAGTCATAAACGAAGGAACCTAGTAATCCTGCACTGTTTTCCTTAATTAGTTCTTTAGATATTGGACATGAGAATAGACTCTTGGCAGCAAGAGAGTAAAGTGTAGCCTTTTAAGTCAACAAATAAAATGTATCATTGTCAATTTAAGGAAGTATAGCAATTGATAGTTTGGAGTAGTTTCAGCTATTTAAACAAGCTGGCGAGGGTGCCCAGTTAGTGGTTTTTTTTTTTCTTTATACCAATATGACTTGCCTAAACTATCACATGGCTGAGTGTTGACAGAGTCAGCCCTAGAACTCAGGACTCTTCCAGTTAAGTCCTTAGCTGTTCTGATATTCAGAATTTCTTAGGAAATAACCAGAAAAAAAATGTAGGGACTAATTCAAGGTAGCACTATCATAATAGATGTGAGTTGTTTAATATTGTAGAAGACATAAGCAAGTTCAGAATGAAATATTTAGCATTCCTAATGTCTTAAGTCTAAGTGTGTCAGTAGATAAGATTGGAATAAGGCAAATAATAATGAGATGGTGCCATCACTGAATCTTCACAGTGTTTGGGTCTCATTAAGCTATTGAAAAATCTTTTTTGGAGGTCTATAGCTTAAGGATAAAGAACTTTAGGAAACAGAGGAAATTCAAATATGGATCATTTGATGGCATAAATGACTTTTGTGCATATCCGAATATTAAGTTTTATTTTAATGCAAAGACCAATGCTCTAGACTTATGAAATTTCAGTTTTATATTCAAGATTCCACTTATATAATGATCAACATATTTTGATTTTTCTAGAAAGATGTAACAATTTGGAGAAAACCTTCAGAAGAATTTAATGGATATCTGTAAGTAAATTCTAGTAGTTTTATGTAGCTCTTAAGACATTGCTCAACATTTTACACATACACATATTTACGATCACTAAATGATCATTGCCAGTAAAATTTGGTCTTTGCTTTTAAGATTTAGACTTTCTGAGAAGCATATCACCTTATGAATTCAAAGCCTTATTTTTTAGGATCATAAATAATGATATCAAAAAAGAAAGAGAGAAGGAAATCAAATGACTTAAGATATTAATTTCTTAGCATGATATATAAGATCCTTCTAATACTCTGCATTTACTCAGTGCTGTAGCGTACTTTATGCTAAGAATTTACCTTTAGGAAGTCATTGGAAAGATAATAGTTAAGTATTTGTCTCTTCCTTCATAGCATTACTTATAATATTAAAAATTATAAACAACTTGAATAATCGACAGTTGGAGAATGATTAAACTTTGGAACATATATGATATTTTGTAGTGTTTAAAAAAAGCACATTTTCAAAAATTATTTAAAAACATAAAATACTCAAGATATAATCCAAAGTGAATAAAGCAGAATATTCGACTGCATGTAGCACAATTATGAGTTGAGTATATATTTTTATATATTGATATGTTTCTATCTAACATCAAATACATACCTCTAGATGGTGATTTTATGGGTGATTTTTATTTCCAATTTTTTGATATTCGCATATAGTTGAACATGAATTATGTCTTTAACCAGAAAAAAATACTGTTTTTCAAAGCCAGTGGGGACAATTGGCTTGTGCAATTGGAGTGAATGTTCACATCCTTGGGACTCAGCCCCTTTAAAAATTGAAACTGGGGTCTGGCCCCACTTAACTATATACAGAATGTTCTGAAGTGTAATACCAGTGATAGTATTTCTAGAAAGATGAGTTATACAATATAATACAATATTTATGACAAGGACAGGGAAACTGGAGTTGAATTAACATTGTAAGCAAGTATGGAAGTTAATTCTCTGGATCAGTAATTCCCAGTGGGGGCTGAAAAGTATAAACAGTCTAAGGGAGCATTATGCTTGGTGATATGAAAGGATTTCATACAGGAACTAATATTTGAGCTGAGACTTAAAGGAAGAATTAGAATTTCTTAGGGAATGAAGAGGACTCATTCATATACCAGGCAGAGGGAATTGCATCTACTACATAAATACAGATGGGAAACACTTTAAGGAGTTTGTTTAGGGAAGTAGAAATTGTAATTGTAAAGCTGGAGCATAAAGTATGGGGGTGGGGAAAGCATATGTTTGCAGGATTTTTGAATGCTAAACTAAGGAATTCAGTATCACACTTAATCTCTGCTCAACCTCCACCCTCATGTCCCAGGTCCTCAAAGGATTTTGAATTTACTCTGATAACATTGTGAAATTAGCATGGAGAATTCAGAGAAGAGGTTTTACTATGGGAGTCCACGTCTAACTTCTTGAAGTTCCACCAAAATTGTATACAAAATTTTGTGTCAGTGTGTATATTCCTGGGAAGACATTTGTCTTCTTTTTTCAGATTCTTAAAGAGATATGTGATCAAAAGAACTAGAGACTAATGCAGTGTCCAATTGGACACAGAATACCCAAACTAAGTCCAAAACATGGGAGTTGAAAAGGGCAGAGATAAACATGAAAGAGATGACTACTAACATTTATTGAGACCCGAATATTGTTCTAAGCACTTTACATTTAGGAAATCATCCTGATAAAACATTGTGACTTCTGAATTCTGACTATTGGAATGGGTTAAGAGAAAATGAAGAGTGAAAGTCGAATTTTAGATTTCTAATTTGAGTGACTGGATTAATTTTTATTACTTCCACCCCCATCCTTTACTGCAAGTTAGAGACCCAGGAGAGAAGAGCAGGTTTAGGATGGGGGAGATAGTGTAAGTTTGAACTTGATAAACTTATAAAATGATAAAACAGCATCAGATGCTTTAAAAACAAACAACAATGACCAGCCCCTCTACCCCCCTCCCCAATGTTGCTAATAGGATTGAAGCCAGTTTATCTCCTATTTCTTCTCTTTTCTTTCCTCCCTGGAGGTAACTGCTGTCTTGAGGTTGTGTGTATTATTCCTGTTTCATACTTTGACCATGTGTGTGTTTCCTTTAATAATTTGCTTTTAATTTTTCCATTCAATATTATGTTGTCAGGATTTAGCCATCTACTCTTTCACTTCTATATGAATATACGCCAGTGTGTTTATCTGTTTGCAAATTTATTGCCCACTGATAAATTTTAGGTTGTTGTCAATTTATAATGCTATAGTAAACTTCTGGGTATCTCCTACACATGTGTGATTTTCTTGGGGTGTATACCTGGATCTCAGGGATACACGTCAGCCAAGTTCACTAGACATTGCCAAATTGTTCTCTAAAGTAGTGGTAGCAGTTTGAGAGTTCTTATCCCCTGCCATTCAATACTTGTTATTAAGTTTATAATTTCTGCCGATCTGAGGGATACAAGATGGTATCTTGTTAGTATTTATTTGATTATGAGTGAAGTTGAGCATCTTTTCCAAATTTATTAACATTTCAGATCAGTCTTAACATGTCCTTTGCCCATCTTTGGATTGCCTGTCCTTTTTTTATTGGTTTATAGGAATTAATTATATAGTAATTAATATGTCTTTATATGTGTTGCACATATCTTCTTTTAGTCCGTGACTAGTTTTTAAAGAAGTTACTTATTTTTCCATTTGTGCTATACAGGTTTTAAATTTTAACCATCTTGTATTATTTGTTTGTGTGTATTTTGTGTATTAAAAAACAAACAAACAAACAAAAAAAAACCCTGTATCCTGAGGTGGTCACTTGTATATTTTTCCTAAAGTTTTAAAGTTTTGCATTTTACATAGTGGTATTTAGTCTATCTGGAATTAATTGGTTTGAGTGGTGTGAAGAAGGGATTCAGTTTTTATTTTGTCCATTAGGATAACTGTTGAATCCAAGCAGCATTTATGGAATAGTACATCCTTTCCCCACTGATATGTAATGCCACCATTAAAATATGTCAAGTTTTGATATTATTTATGAGCCAATCCTGAGTTTTCTATTCCTCGGTGACCTATATTTCTGTTCCTAATAAAAAGTTTTTAAAAGTCAGAGTAAAAATATGTGTATACTAATAACATATTAGAGCATAACTGAGAAAAGAATAGCATATAAAATAAATGGAAGCATTACAGTGTTCTGCAGATTGTGGCTACATCACACCTTAAAGGTATTTTACTATGTTCATAATAATGAATAATATAGACTTCAGATCTCTTATTAGGTTTGAGGACAAAGTACATTCTGATAAAATAATTGATAGAACTTAATTTATCAGAAAAGTTGTTAGGATTTACTCCTTTAAAAAAATTTTCATTAATTCTTATTCTTTTTGAAGTTAGCTCTGAACTACGAGGGCAAGCTGAAATTTTTTCTATTAGCATTTGACTTTAATATTTGTTTTCTCCAGTTTCAAAGCTCAAGGTGTTATAGATGATGTTGTCAATAGTATAATAGACCATATACGCCCAGGTCCCTGTCGCTTGGATTGGGACAGCTTAATGACTTCAATGGATATTTTGGAGCACTTTGAAGAGGTATGTTTAGAAATGTTGTGTATGTATGTGTGCGTGTGTGCACGGGTGAGAGAGAGAGAGACAGACAGAGAGAGAGAGAACAAGCATGTACATGTGGGCGTGAGCACGTATACACACTTGCATTCATTGCTTTGAGAATAAGTAGTGATGGCAAAGCTCTCACAGGGGAAGTCTTGCTGCCTTTTAAAAAGCTTGGGTTTCCTCATATTAACTAATGAGTGTTAGTCAGAATTGAGTTTGTTTTCCTTAGTATCCTTTGCTGCTTAAGAAAATTGTCAGTATCTTTAATTGTAAAACTACTTTAGGTTCTGAAATTTAAAATTCTGAAAACATCACCATCATAATTAGTTTTCTAGCTAATTGTATATAGGTTTTCCATTAATATTAAGCCAAAATCAAAGACTAAAGATAAAAATGCCACCATAGGCATTAGGGAATTATGTAATCAGAGTGGCTTGCTCTTCTATTTTTATTAATTCAGTTCTTGCCTTGTTTGAATTTCTTTCTTGAACCATTTGGTGTTTAGTCAGTTATTTGTGGATTTTATCTTAAAACACCTACAGTCTACACTACCTACTTCCATGTTAAATATCATATAGGATACAAAGCGACTGTATTGAATTAGAGATTCGGATACTGGGTAATTTACCTCTATATTTTGATTATATATTTTCTTCATGTGCATACATAGCAGTGAGACTTAGACCAGAGATCTAAATCTGTCAAGAATTTACTACAAGAATTGTTATTAATACTAATTATAATATACTTCAAATGAGTATTAATTTTTTTACTAAAGATTAACTTATGATATATGAATCTTGGTATGTGTTTCTATAGTAGTGACACCGGTTACCCTTTCTCTTTCAGAATTGCTGTGTGATGCGTTACACTACTGCTAGTCAGCTTTGGAATATCATTTCTCCAAGAGAGTTTGTTGATTTCTCCTATACTGTAGGCCATAAAGAAGGGCTTTTATCCTGTGGTAATGATCTCAAATCTTATACTTCATTTTATTTTAAATATTTGAGTTTTCTAGGCTGGATGTTTTTTTCTATGCAAGAAATATTTTTAACTTTCATGCTTATTTTATAATCACTAAGCTTTGTTTGCAAATGCTGAACCCTAGGAATTAAAATAATAATATCAAGAAGTGTTCTGAAATCTTTCTGATAAATTTTTATTCCCAGTTACATGGTATCCTCCAGGTCATAACTAACACATATGGACCACATTACTGCCTTTAAGAAAGAGGTCCAGTAAATGGATTTCTTTCTAAAGAGAAAACAGAAAACAGCTTCTTGGTCATATACGTAGCAAAAATAGACTTGGTATGTGTTAGAATATTTTTCTTTCCTTGGGTTATATAATATTTTTCTTTCAAAATTAAAAATACTGCTGTTAGAAGGTTCTTGCTTTCTGAGATATATTTTATAGGTAAATTAATATTTTTAATGTACATAGTTGAGTTGACAGTTATAGTTAAACATCTACTTGTTTATTCTTAATCAGTCAGTATCAAAGCTGGATATGGTAGCGCCTGTAGGGAGAAGTGGTGGTACCCTAGTTTTATTGGCACCTTGAGGCCTGGATGCTACAGTCAAGATTCTTCATTTCCAAGGAGTTACCAAGATGCCAATAGATATCATCTATTCTGAAGGGATTAGAACTTTTCCCTTACCTTTCTACTAGCCCCTTGTCCAAATTCTATTTGGTAATATTTTTTGTTCGTTTGTTTTTCCATGGTCCCTCTTGGGGCTTAATTTTCATCTACAGGGATAAGAAGAAAAATATTTAAATAAGAAATCCAATAATATTTTTAACGAGAGTTTTTAGACTAATGTCAGTCATTGCTGTTAATAGTATTATTTTAAAATTGCCTCGTAGGGATAAGTCTTGACTGGAATGAAAAGAGACCAGAATTTGTTCGTGGATATAACCATCCATGTGGTTGGTTTTGTGTTCCACTTAAAGACAATGCAAACCAGAGTCTTTTGACAGGCTATATTCAGACGGATCTGCGCGGGATGATTCCTCAGTCTGCAGTGGATACAGCCATGGCAAGCACTTTAATCAACTTTTATGGAGACTTACGAAAAGCCTTACAAAAAGCATAATGTGTTTGAACTTGTAGCACTATGGTCCCCTAAATCAACTCTTTCTCTCAAACTACGTGGCCTGTAAAAATCATTCTTACCTCTCTTCTGCATAGCCTGTAAAAAACTTTGAGATGTTTTTGGTTGATTTTATTCCTAAACTAAATAGTTATTTAAGATAGGGCATTTCAGTTTTCTTACAGTTATTTGCACATTGTTTGGTATAGCAATGTGTCTAGGAATGGAGAATATGACAGAAATCCACCAAGATGTAGATGCCAGTTCTTTGACCTAAACTCTTAAGAAATTGAATAGTGCCTCAGTGTGAATTTTTTGGCTGTTTGGAAATTGAGAAAGCACAAGCTTCATACTGTTAGGTTAAAATCATTTATTTTAGAGCTTTATGAACATTTTATATAAGTTCTAATTTTTTTGGAGGTTAAATGTTAGTGCTTTACTTTTGGTATGCTCTAAGAGTTTGCCAATATCTTGTACTAAAGAAAAAGCTCTTCTCTATATTTGATAAAGATAAACTTCATTGTCAGTTGACTTACGCTACTTTAAGTTTTGAAAATACCAGAAATAAGAAGAGAATAGAGTATCATAGAAACTATGGATACAATACAAATGCAGTTCAGTTTTGATACCTAGATTATTTTGTGGGTGTCTTTAAAAATATAGTTGTATCTTTATGTGCATTTATTTTGGGAGTCTTAAAACATTTAAACATGAATAAGACAGTACAAAAACCTGCCTATTGTGTGCTGGGGTCACCACGTTGATTGGGCAGTAGTCTGGGTTGTGTGAAGTGGCTGGTGGTATCCTGTATTCAACAACAGAGAATCATCTCTACAAAGTCAGTTCAGTGAATGTTCTGTGTATGTTTCAGTTTTAAAAGTATCACTCAACTCATAAACTATTACTAACTACTTCATAAACATTTACAATTGTGATGTAACCTCAGTCTGCAACTATAACAAATGTATTCATAGATTTATCTAAATGCCTGAGTTATTTTATAACTAGAATGGATCATAATAGGTCCTTGATTTTTATGGCTGCCTTAAACGAACATTCCTAAATGATTTTAACGTTCCAAATGACTCTTTGACTTTTGAACTATCTACCTAGTTTACTTCTAAAATTAGAGCTTGAGGCAATTCATTGTGTTTATGCAAATTTTTATATGTGTTTATGTTTGTATACATGCATACATCTTGAAATCTATTTCATTGTTCAGTGTGAATTCTTCCTGTGTTATTACTGTTCCCATTGTTTTCTTCTTCTTTTTTTTTTTTTTTAATATGGGGTAAAGTGAGCTCTGGAAATATGTGCTAGAGAAGCCACAAAAAGCACAAGAATATATAGTGAGTGGTTCAAGTCCATGAAGGTTTAATCTGTGTTTTACTTTAATGTGTTTTCCTGAGTGAAAAGAAAGTGTGAATTATAGTTCTTTAAACCTATTTTGATGAAGTGAAAAAATGTAGAACTAGTTTTTGGTTTTATTTTTATTTTTTTGCTGTTAGAGATAATGATGTTCAAAACAAACAAACAAACAAACAAAAAGGTAGTAGCACCAGAGTATCCATGGTGAATAATCTCACAGTGTTTAGATTGAAAATAATTTGTTCCAAAGTCTGACAGAACAATTCATAAATGATCCTGTATTCTTAACTTGAAATTTATTAATCACCAATATTCTTTTCTAAATTGACTGTAACTTTTCAGTTGCTGGATTTGTCTGCTACTTTTTTTTCTCCTTGCAATAGGAAAAGAAAACAGCAGTTTAGCTTTCAGTTTCCTATGGAAATTGTTTATTAATTTGTCTTCATGTCTTTTCTTTTATTTGGTTTTATTAGTGTAGGGTAGGAAGTTTCTTATATTCCAGCATACTAACTGAGATGAGGAAATACCAGTAGATATTCAATTATAAAGTGCCTAGACTGGGTAAAGGGATTTGTGACAGTATTGTACATTTACAAGGGCTATCAATGCCTGGTCTGGGTTTCTCTAAAGGCAAATAAACTTCGACTCTCAGCTACTCTAATGTTCCCTTTGTCCTTTTCAGTTTACACCTCCAATTAGTGGTTCCATAATCCATTATTGAATTTGTGGACCCTCTGCAGGTAGAAGGATACTCAGAAAATTTTTAATTGCAATATCGAGTCATACGGTGGATTGACAGTTATATTTGAATTACCTGAAATTTATATGCATCTTCTAGATGGCACTTTAGTGCTGCTAGGCTCTAGCTGTGTACTTAAAAAAAAAAAAAAACAAAAAAAACCCAAAAAACAACTCAGGTTTATTGAGGTATAATTTACATGCTATACTATTCACTGGTTTTAAGTATGCAATGCAGTGATTTTTGAATACATATAGTTGTGTAATCATCACCACAGTCTAGTTTTAGAACATTTCATCTCCCAAAAATATCCCTTTTGCCTGTTTGCAGACTCATACCTAACCAAAGTTTAGCAGAGTTGCCAGCATACAGAACATGATGAAAAAGATTAGAGTAGATTTTGTTTGGTTTGTTTTTTTTAAGACTAAGAGGTATATTTGAATCTAAGCTCAGATGTTATCTCAAGTCATAATGATAAAACATTTAACGATGTGGATTGGGGTTAATATTAACAGATATTGAGTCTGCTATTTCTGTAACAGTGCTGTAGAATAAAAAATAATGTGAGCCATATATGTCATTTAAAATTTTCTAGCAGCCACATTAAAAAATTAAAAAGAAATAGCTGAATTTTAATAATATGATTCTTTTAACTCAGTAGATCCAAAATGTTATCATTTCAACATATGATCAATATAAAAATTATTAATATAGCTTATATTCTTCTTTTATACTAATTCTTAGAAATATGGTGTGTATTTTACTAATTTGGACTAGCCACATTTTAAGTGCTCATCCATCTGAGGCCAGGGGCCTATAGCGAATAGTGCAGTTTTGTAGTATATGTATTAATTTGTCTTTAGAATATGAAGTAGAGAATTTCATAGGATTACTCTCTTAAATGCAAAATCTTTTCTGGTCTCAGGAGCCTTCAGTGCTTAAATGGGGACTTCTAAACATTAGAAATAAATCAGTTAGTAGTTGTCAATAAAATAGAAATTACAGCCAAAAAAATTTTCTTTAAAAATAACTTTTCATAGGGCAGTTTATGGAAGAATATAGTCTGCCTTGTTAGGTAGTTGATTATTTTCTCTAGCTTACAGCTAGTTTGCATTAGAAATGTGTATACAGGAAATACTTGGCACTGTACTGTTTTTAGTACATGGTACCTGTTTTTTAAGGAAATAGTTTCATATAAGAAATAGTATTTGTCATAAATGATATTTTGTATGAAATATTTATATTCATAACTCTTGATTAACTCTTGAAGTTTGACACAATACTCAGCAAAAATAATTATGAGAATTTAGTGTTCTGCAGTTATATATAATATAAACTTCTAGAGTATTAAAGAGAGATTGTAAGTGTTAAAGATCTCTTCATTTCACTATTCATTGAGGTTGGATTTATTTGAAACCATAGATTTCTATGTCAGAAATTATCTCCCAGTTAAAAAAAGCTTTTAGGTATGAGTAATTCCCTTTGATACAGGTAAAACTTTACATGTTTACTCAAAAGCACACTAGAATCCTCAGAATCCGGTTAAAATCCAGTTTCTTTTAATTTTGTGGATACTGTAGCTATCCCAACCCAATGGATAAATTAACAGAACCCAGAGAAATTAAGGGAGTTGACCAGGTTTCTGTTAGAACCTGTCGTATAATTACTTCTCTAATGTATCTTCTATGCCTTTCTTATTCAACTCGTAGAAGTGGAGGATGGTGGGATCTGAACATAAAAGAAACTTTAAATTAATCCCAGAGCACAGGACATTAGAATTATAATTTCTTCATTATTTTGTTGTGTCCAAAGATTTTACATGTATAATTAAATAAAAATCCATCTCTTGCAATTCAGTAGAAGCTATGCTAACTATATATATAGATTTTATTTTTTAAGTTTACAATTCTTCTATGAGCCAATATGTAAAACTAGAATCTTTATTAAACTAAGAACATGTGTTAAATAAATAAAATGTGTATTTATTTTTCAATTGCTATGAAATATATCAGAATAAAATTTCTAGACACTTATAACTGATCATTGATACTGTCTGTGTAAGTTGTTTTAACCTTAAGTCTGACAAATAGTTTCATATATCTGAACTTAAAGTATATAATTTAACTTCCTGAACTTTTACAAAAACAGATATATAAACTGGGAACTAAAGATCAATAATGCACATGCTAATCTCCTGCCAATGTCTCATATAATATTAGCCACACTACTGCTAAATCTTGATTTGCTATTTTATAGCCAGGATGATGATGACTGTATTCTGCTCCTACAGTAACATATGCACAGGATTTATTGTACACGTGTCGAAATAATTGTGTTAATTTGATTAGGAATTGTGATTTCATTTGGAGTTGAAAAAAGCTGCAAGTGATCACAAAGAAACCCTTGACTATGTTATAAGATAGCAGTTATGGATACAGTGGGCAGTATGCAACAAAAAAATATGACTATTAAATGGTTTAAGCAAATAGGGAGTTATTTTTCTTGTTTAATAAAATGTCTGGATATAGGTAATTGTTAGTGTTTATCAGCTCAAGGACGTCAGAGCCAGTGTTTCTACAGTTCACTTCATCTTTACCTCATAGTAATAAGGTGACTGACTAGTGCCGGTAATTACATGTGCATTCAAGTCAAGAAGAAGCTGAGGAAGGCATGATACCACTCACCTGTCTATTCTTATCAAGAAAACAGAAGCTTTCCCAGAAGCCTCCAATCACTTTTCTTTCTAGTAGCCTAGGTCACATGACTACCCCTAGCTGTAAATGGTGAGCAGGAAGGCCAGCATAAGGATTTCCGGCCTCTTGGAGGAAGGAACCATAGCATCTCTCAGTGGATCGGTTCTGGGAAGTGTATAAGGTTCCTCCAGATGTCAATAGGAAAGTGATAGACTCCCAAAATAGAAATGAAAATAGCCAAATAGTCATTCACTCTTTCATGAAACATTTATTGGGCCCCATCTCCATGGCAGATGCTACATAGCTATTCTTAATTGAGGTAATGAGGTGATGGTGCTTCCTCTATAGGTTAATGATTGGTGTCACATGGCATCCAATGTGAACAACCTATGTTTATAGTACACCGTGTTTCTATTCTTTTGGAGCAAAAGATCCACGATGGATGAAGGCACTTATAACTAGAAGATGACAGAAAATTGATGGAGAATGTGAACTACAAATGTATCCCTGAAGATGATGGATCCACGCTACTTGTCAGCTGTAGAGGTGATTAGTGGCGTGTAGTATTCTGATAAAAATAAAAATAGGCTTTTTACTCATCATTTGGATGGTATTCTTTTTCAGGAGATTTACCTTCCTGCTTAGGTAGTGAGCTTTAGTGACATCTTTTAAGTATTAGTACATGGTACTTATTTTTTCAGTACATGACAGCTGATTTTTTATTAAAAAAAAGTCCAGAAATTGTGTAAAACTAGACTGAAATAAAAATATGTTTCAAATAGTCAAAAATGGACTTGCAAATGGGAGAGGTTTTTGTTTTGTTTTGTTTTTCTCGAGCAATTCCCTCAACTCCCTCAGTTGGCAACTCACTGTTTAGGCTAAGCGTCTTCTCAACAAAGTGAAGATTTGGAATATAATGGTAGCAAGCTGTAAATCAGAGGGTAAGCTTGGCTGTCATATTCCTCCCCGTCAAATATTTCGCACAAATGTTTGCTAATTGATTGGTCAAGCTCAAGAAAGACTCAGATCTTTTTATATCTCCTGCTAACAGTCAGTTTAAAAGTTAAACGTGTTTTTTACCCTCATTCTCAGGTCCTGTAGGTTTGTAAGCTTCATCTTGAAGTGACCACTAAATATCATTTGCCCCAACAATTCCACATTGGGATTATTTCCTTAGGAAGGACTTCTCTGGACACAAAAGGCTTTATGTAGTGTTAGAAAAGAAACATGAGACTGGAATAATTATGCAGCTATCAAAATGTTTGTGAAGATTATGCAAAAAGTGCTTGTGCTTTAGCACTAGGTTGATACAAAAAAGTTACAATGATCACAAGTCTGGATGGAAAGTGTTAATGATAATTTTATATTTTTCTGTAGTTTCAATTTTTACAATGAAAAATCAGTTTTTATTTGAATTGCTGCATTTACTTTGTACCTAGGCCAGGATATAGGTAACCCAGATTATTCTCGTCTTAGCCAATAACTGACCTTAGATAAGCCATTACCTTTCTGGGTGTCAATTCTCTTTGGAATGATTCACCTTTACATTTCAGATGTAAGGAAAATGTCCATTGTGTCACTCTTGAATTGTAACATTTCAAATCACAGAATGCAAAGTTTTGATGAGACTCTAAGATGATTTATTATCATACTATACATGCAAACTGCTTTATAGATTTCTTGGCAGCAAGATTAT